GTTGAAATGGAAAGGCAGCAATATTCATAACCATATTGCTTTCTCTGCTGCTCAGATGTTATAAAATGGCCATAGAAAAAGAAAAAGAATAGAAAAAACAAACAGCAATAATTAAGCAATAACACCACAAAATTAAACCCAAATAATCAATTCCCAGCTGTTTAATAAAAAACTGAAAAGAAGTTGCATCAATCATCCATTTTCCTACAATCAAACATGCCCTATCTTTCTGTGTCTATTTCTGTAATCTCTCCTTTTGTCCCTGTATGAGAAACTGCATTCTAGAGCATGGAAACTAAAAAGATTTAAAAGCCTATCTGAGTTTCTGTGAACTAAGTATATGTTTATATGAACTTTCCTTCTTCAGAGACACCATGAAACAGCTCAACAGAGAGAGCCAGTGATGAATTTGTCACTACCATTTTGAGTTCCAAAACTTCTTCTGATACGCGAGCAGCTGAGACGACAAAAAAACAAGAAGATCAATAATGGAATTTTTTTTTTCTTCAAAAGCGAATAAAATAGAGATTGAATAATATGTGTGTGTCTTCATTCCTCTACTGACTATTTTCAGTAGTGAACAAACAAGAGACTAGCATTGATGCCAATGCAGGAAAAAAGAGCTCACCAGATAGCCATGGCTGAAGTTTTGTGTTGTAAGTCCTGCCAATGTTTCTCCTTCATCTAAAACTTGCAACTTATCTTTGCATGGATCAATTACACTGGACTTAGAAATCTGGTCATTCAAGAGGGTTGAAGGGTTGACATTGGATCGCAGCTCTTTCACCAAGTAAATCTCAATTTCATCAGCTCGCGATTCAGTTTTGCCAGCTACATACTAAACATAATGGGGGAGTTTCAGATCAATTTCAGTAAGACTGATAGCAGCTCTAAAAATGAAACAATTAGACAAGAAAACAAATCACCTGGCAAAGCTGCCCCACTGACAAACTAGGCCTACACCACAAGTACGGCCGCTCCAGATTGGGTATTCTTTCTTCATCGAAAGAGACAAGCATGAAGTGGATATCCAGCTGAAATGATACAACAAACGTTAATCATTACAATTTATCACAAAAAGAGAGCTGGTGCAGCAGAGGTAATCCATGACAATAATGATAGGCTCAACTCTCAATGTCCAATAAAGAAATTGGTTTTGGATCAAGAAGCACACGATTCTATCTCATAACAGAGTTCAAAACAGCAAAGAAGGATAAGCTTTACCTCATCATCTTTCTCTTCTAAGTTCTGAAGATGATCTACCAACCTAGAAATGCGGCTACCCCGGGGATTCTTACCATTGCCACCATTCAAACTGCCATACCGAGTGTGACTCCGCATACCACCCCCACCCCAAGCTAACATTTCTGAGGGACCAAGAAGCCCAACAGATGAACCCAGGGATTCTCTGATCATTTCAGAACCATTTTCATCACCACCTCCATCTGCACAAGCACCTGCAGAAGACTGCGCTCCTCCTAATCTTTTGCTTCTTTTAGGTATAACTTCTGTGCCGCGCTCGTCGGCAGAAGATGAGTTTTTCTCTCCATCTCCATCTGCATCTTCATTTTCATCAGATCCCTGGAGTTCTGTTTGGTGGTTTCTCCTGCCCCTCAAAGGAATATCTCGAAAGCGACTATGTGATCTCCTCACAACTGCAGCTGCTGCAGATTTTGCTGATCGCTTCCTACCAATAGCTTCAGATTGCCGCTTCAAAGTCTGGGAAATAGATGCTTGTATCTGTCCCCATGAGAACAGGATCCAATTTCATCGAAAACATGAGCCTAACTTCTTTAGGAACTGAAGTTATTAGCTCTCAGAAAAAATGCATGCGAATGTCCTTCCTTATTTTTACTTCCTTTTTTATATGCTAATAAATATATAAACAAAAGCATGCCTGTTTGGTTGTGAACCCAAAAAAGAAAGTGGCAATAACTTACCTGCTTGTTGCGAGCCTTCTCTTCCTCATGCAAAGCTAATTCCTAAACCAGGGAGATTAACGATGAATGTTCCAGAATTTCATTATCATACAGTAATTTTTATGCAATAAATGATCAAAAGTACCTCTTCTTCATACTTGTCAATGTCTGGATATAGAGCTGCAATCAGGGCATCATACTTTGGATCATCTCTTAAAGAACGACGACTAGCACAGTGGGTACGGCAAGCAGGACATTCATTGTTCCTAAAGTGACTCCCCACAAAATGAAATAGATAAATAGATAAACAAGGGCACTTTTTAAATGAATAAGTCAACAAGTATTTATTGTCAATAGAGCAGTTTTATGCTCAGATAACCATAGCATTAAACTGAACGAATATCTAAAATCTAAAAGCTGGAATGGATTATCTTATCTGTCTTTTCGAGTCAATCAAGAGTGATACAAATATTGATGGTAGTTTAAACTTACCCAAGCCGCATCGACTTGTCAATGCATTCCCTGCAGAAGCGATGAAGGCATTCCATTACAGTTCTGGTCTTCCGGATGATACCTAGACCATAAACCAAAAACGAATCAGTGCCTTCTTCATAATTTAGCAGAAAGAGATCAGTGTGTATGGGCAAGGAGACCACATCCAAGAGAGCTCATATCCTCTTCATCAAGCAAAAATCAAATGAAACAACCATGTTGATAGCTAAGATTCCCTATATCCAGTTACTACAATCTCAGCAATAAAACCTTTGGAAGAAAACAAAGGCTCCAAACATCTTTTTTTTTTTAAATAAAAAATATAGTATTAAGAAACACTAAGGGGATGCAACCCTTATACAAAAGCTTTACGAGTCTATCAATTCGTAATATGATTTTCTGAAAATTTTAATCATAAATATGACACTAGAATAATTCAATCTGGATGAACAATATTTGAGAGTCACATAGCAACTTAGACTGTTTTGAGACAAATAATGATGCCAAGGAATTGACATTGCTTGTTTTCAGATATACCATCAACTGTCAGAGAAACTCTCGCGTTCAGTGGTTTGGCTTATATGTTATGCCAAATAGGAGGATATGTATGTTAATTTGTACGAACACATACTCATATATGGGAAAAACTGTATTTATTTCCTAAAAAAAGTCATCTGAACATACTATAACATTCTAAAAGCACACATAACAGATAAAGATATTTAATGCTACGCAAAAGATGTAAAAAAGAAATCCCAAAAGCATACCTAGACAGATTGGGCATTGAACTTCCTTCCGTAATTCAGATAGTTTTACTAAAACATATCTGCAAACGAACACAAGAAAAGTAAATGTGTTATCTTAATCAGCTATTTAAACATAAATCTGTTATCTTAACTTTTTGCTTCTCTTTTTATACACATGTTCTGATATTGAAATTTATTTAAAGAAATGGATAAATTTTATAAGACTTGTAAAAACTCTTCAAGTTAGACACCCCCTGTTCCAGCCAGAAAAGAAAATAGAAAAACAAATAATGGAAGACACCTTTCAAATACTTAAGTTCCGACTGCTGGCCTAATTACAATGCATATTGCATCGGGTGGAAGAAAAGCAGTACGTTTGTCCAGCAAATCAGTAAATGGTGCCTCGGAACAATAAATCTCAGTAACAAATAACTCATAGAAATTGCTCTCACTACTCTATTCTAGACTCAAAGAAAAAAGAAACAAAAGGTTTATAAAGAAGTTGCCTACCATTCCACCAATCAGATTACTGTACAAGGAGATATATACTATATATCAGATTAACGTACAAGGAGGTATAGATTAGATATCAAATTGTTCTATCAAAAAGACTAAATATCAGATTTACATACAAGGAGGTATATACTATATACCTTTGTTACAACGAGTAACATACCAAAACTAAAGCATAGAAGCAGTCAACAGAAAATTATACAAAACCTCTTCAAACACATGGCAGAAATCAAAGCATCTAAAAACATGGTATCATAATTAACACCCGCTCAGCAAATAGGAACTTGGAGAACTGGTTTGTTGTGGAAAAGTGTAATACACGTTTATCATTAAAGTTATAGAAAATCTGAAGCTAAATAGTGGCTTTCGTTTGAGACATGCGTATCAAATATAAACATGGATTAGGGTGAACTATATACCCGAATAACATCAATGCATAAAAGGACATACTTGTAACCTTAGTCAATCATAATACAGATGCAAGGTAAACACTTGTGATTAAACACTTCTGCATTATGCATCATTATAGAAAACCGCATGCTGATTTCAGTAGCTTAAGTCAATCTGAAAACTAAGCCGCAATCGATAAGCATACACAGGAAGCAACATGAAACCAACTCTCATGCACGAACACACCAATTCGAGTCAAAAGGAGAATAACCCACGAGACTCGAAACAAAGCCCGACCGAGTTTCATCAAACACCAACATGAACAAAGCAAGTAAAGAAATACCCATTGGAAATAACCAGAGAAGTCAACAAACACACATATCGCATAACAGCTAAAACTATTACTAGCAGGACCCATGTAGCAGTTTCCTCTAAAATGCTCATAAAAAAACAAAACCATCGAGTAGGAGTCCATGCAGATCCCAAAATCAAACCGGGCATTAACCCATCAAACACCAGAACAATATCTAATCGACAAAATACACCGAATCAAAAACGACAAAGAAAGCAGAGAAGGAGAAGAGCTTACTCCTCTTTCTCTCCATCACTAGAAAGCGGGCTCCGATCGGATTCTGAGAAAGCAAACAATAGAAAACAACAATCAAATCAACGAAAAAAAAGAAGAAGGAAGTACAACGAAACAAGAATCTGCTCTCTCCTTTTTGACCGTTGAAAAATCCGAAGTGGATAAACGGGTGGTGTACGATACGTACCATTAGCTGCATCGCCTTCTTCTCCAGGCGAATGCTGGTCATGATCGTTGCTGATATCGTGCTGGTCAAGATCGTCGTCGTTGTCATGGGTCTCGTCTGCGGAGCGCTTCTGGGCTGGCATTGCTTCTTTTTTCATTCAAAGGAAAAACAAACACAATCATGAGAAACACGATATTAATACTCGGAATCCCAAATAAGAATTTAATGAAAGTAGTGTTGGACTTACAGAGAGTAATGATTTCAGAGAAGAGAGGAGGAAGAAGGTGGTGAAATACTTGGCTCGACCTCTCTTCGTTTCTGTGTTTTCTCGCGTATATAAAGGCGGATGGGTAGAGGAGGAGGCTTAAGAGGCCTGTGGGTTACGGCCTTACCGACTTTGTACATACATGGAAAATGTGTATGCTACCTCAGATACATATGTATACACCTAGATTCTGTGTATACAGCCCTGTATATCTATCCATCCTGATATTATCTACCATGTATGAAATGTACCTTAATCCTGGTATTAATGTTCGCCTTTAATGCAGATATTATAACATAAATAGTTTTAGGTTATTATATTACTAATTCTCATTTGTTTGATTAAATTTACATTAATCTTTTATTATTTTTAGTTAATTATATTGTTGGTTTTACCTATTTTTGTTGATATTATAATAAAATTATATTAATATATTGAGATAAATAAATAAATAAATAAAATAAAAGGAGTATGGTAACTAATAACGAATTTGGTAAGGGGTAAATAGCCAATGAATGAATGCTAAAGTTCGTACGACCCGGCAGTCCACTGTAATGGCCCATCGTTGGCTATGGTGAATTGAAATTAGGTATTAGATATATATATATATATATTTTTTTTCAATTAAAATGTGATATAAATTGGATCGAGTTTAAATTCGCGGTGAAAGAAAACATCGAGTTATGATAGATTCGATTTTAACTTTCTAAATTCATTTAAATCTAATTCGCTACGTGTGTGTGTATATATATATATATTAAGAAAGATAAATTATGTTAGATTCGGATTGAACTTTTTAAATTTATTTAAATCCAATTCGCTCTATATATATTAAATTAACTCGCGGGTTTTGGTCGACTTACCAATAAATTTAGTATTGTCCGAAAAAAAATATAAAAAAAGAATTGAATCCGCTTTAGATTAAGAACGGTTTTAATTTTACGACATGTTCTGTTCATAATTGATAAATTTTTATTTTAATTTTCTTTACTTATAAATGTTACTTAAAAATAGAAATTAGGTTGGCCCAAATAAATTATAAAACAAAATTAGGAAATGCATAAACTCACAAACCAAAACAAGAGAAATTCAAATTAAGTGTATGTTATAAATGAGATTGGGAATGGATCCTACAATTGGAATATGACTGTGTTATGTTTGTTTATAA